AAAAAAAGAAGTCAAATAAATGAATAGCTAGGTTAAAAAAAAAAAAGCAAAAACCAATTTCTGTAAATTACTTGATTTTTCCCAACATGCACTTACAATAAGCCCAGCATAGTCTGCAGTTTCAATTAGAGTGTCATGTAGCCATACAAAGTCTTCATGCTGTCTTGTAACAGAAAACTCTGGGCTTTGAAATGTGGGCAGCGTGGTCTGTAAAGAAAGGAATGAAAAATTAACTGATAACCCCACTACTTTTAGATAAAGAGGTTTGGGTTTCCTGGGCTGCATTGTGGAAAAATTCTGCAAATAAAACATCACATTGAAATCCAAAGAAGAACAAAAAGCAACACATGATGCTCCTATGAGTCACTACTAATGTACTACTTGTTCATTAAGGAATTGCTTTCACAAAACTACATCTTTCAGATTAGCTTAAGTAGTCTTCACATGGTTTCTTGAACAACTGAGTTATGCTAATCAAGTCACCAAGGCATTAAGAGAAAATTAGAGGAAGGAACCTTATAAATTGATGGAAACAGCATAAAATGAGCGTTATTTATTTTAAGTCTGTATCTTTTGCCTCATGAGCATAAACAGTATCATAAGCTTTTTATGAAGACAAAGCTGAAATGTTCCTAAAAGATTGGAAGATTTGAGTTGTTTAAGTGTATGGTTCCACTTGTATCACTGCACCTGGTTTGCTTCCTCATGTAACAGAGTAAAAGCCATTTATCAGCAATGCCCACAGTCATAGTGGAAAATGCTGAAGCAAAGAGCTTACTACATTCAAGATGACAAAAAAATCTGATGCTTACTACACAAGATGTCAAAAGTTCACTTAACAGTAAGTGCTACACTACAAATCAACAGCAACCATTTCAGTATATCAAGTCTCTTCCCATACCCACCAAATATAAGGCTGCAACCTAGCATTGTTCTGTTTAAGTCACTCTGTCACTTACCTTGGTATGTACTGTAAATTTGACCTTATCTCTCTCACTGAGTGCATCAGGTATATCAATTTGAAGAGAGGGATCAACATTCAGGTCCACAGATACAGATCTCAGCTGAAATAAAAATGGTACTAGTAATTAAAAAGCAGTTTATACTAGTTCATGAAGAACAAAGTCAGTTGATAATCTTAAAAATGTATTTGAAATTGTGAGAAAACTTCCAAAATGGATGTGGTTCCAAAGTCTTCTTGTAAATAAAACTATGTATTGTATATATTACACATTTTATAAATATATAAAAAATATATAACTAAATACTGGAGAATTGTGCTAAGGCATTCAAAGAAGAAATTAAGATTACAAAAACCTGCAGAGAAGGTGAAGGAAACAGTCATGTAGTATGGGATAAGATTATTACCAAAGAGACAAGGAATTTAGACACAGGTGAATTGTAAAGACAAAGTTCTAAATTTAGTAGAACCCCAGTGGTGACAAGTGTGAGTAATGATCTAAAAACAAAAGT